ATGGTGGATATTCCGGTCCAGAGATGCAAGTTAGACCTTGACATTTGACTGAATCATTTTTGAAAATTTCATATGTCAGATCCTCCATTAAAAAAAGAGTATAATCTTACCTCCCTCCCCCCTCTACTTTATATTGATAAGATGAGCCTCAATGAGGTGACAATGCCGTGGAAGTCAGGGGCACTGTGTCAGTCTGGGTCCTGTCACTCTGGGTAGGGAGCAGACTTGGATGCAAGGGCTATTTACAGGGTTCAGGGAAGCAGCAAGGGTGAGGAAGCAAGGGAAGGTGGTAATGAGTTGCAGGGACCAGCAACAATAGGGGCTTGTTACCACCTCTAGGCTGAAGGGGCCCGTGGGGAGTAGTGACCAGGTCCCAGGGGCAGCTGCAGCTAGGAGAGAGTCTGAGACAGGAGACTTGGCCAACCATCAGCTCACCAGGGTGGGATCTGGCCAAATAAACATCCTGACCTCCTCCTCCTTCCCATCTTCTATCAATGCCCCCCAGTGGTCAAAGCCAGCCGGAAAGCAGAGGGCAAGGAAGCCTCTTGGGATAGACCACTGGTAGCTCAGCCTCCTGAATCTCAGAGCAGGGTGGAGACGGCTGGAGAGTGGAGCTGGAGAGGCCAGTGGAGAATATTCTGCAGACTTGTTCTGAAAAATAACTCCCGGAGTCAAAGCTGTTATAAGGTAATGTTCTCAAGATGGCTGGTTTATGACCCCCTGTCTCTACTAACAAATAAAACTAAAGCTGATGTTCTGCTTCAAGATGGGGTATGTGATAGTTAATTTTATGTGTCAACTTGATTGAGCTAAGGGATGAGCAGATAGCTGGTAAAACACTTCTGTGTGTGTCTGTGAGGATGTTTCTGGAAGAGAATCAGTAGACTGAGTAAAGAAGATCCACCCTCATCAATGTGGGTGTTCATTATCAAATCCATTGAGGGCCCAAATATAACAAAATGGTGGAGGAAGGGCAAATGCTCCCTCTCTCTCTCTCTCTTTTTGTTTAAGTAATTTCTACACCCAACGTGGGGCTCAGACTCACAACTCCAAGATCGAGAGTCGCATGATCTACCAACTGAGCCAGCTAGCCAGGCACCTCTTCCCTCTCTGTTTTTGATCTAGAATGTCTATTTTTTCCTGCCCTTGGACATCAGAGCTCTTGGTTCTCAGGCCTTCAGGCTTGAACTGAATTATACCACCAGCTTTCCTGGTTCTCCAGCTTGCAGATGGCAGATCATGGGACTTCCTGGCCTCTGTAACCGTGTGAGCAATTCCTTTAATAAATCTCTATACATACCTCTCTATATCCTATTGGTTCTGTGTCTCTGGAGAACCTTAATACACGGTATTAGAATAATCTATGCGTGTATGAGACTGCAAGTCTGTTCCCCAAATGACGCTTATGTCACAGGGACAACATTTATTGAAGTGTGAGTATTCTACAGAGAGTTTTGGCTTAATACCTGATACCCAGATCTTCTCGCATGGAGAATTGGGAGAATGGGTATGGAGAGAAACTGGAGGAAAACGGGAAGGACCTGACCTAAGAGGCTAAATCACCCTTCCTAATAAAGAGCTCAGAAAAAGGGAAGACAGTTGGGTGCTGGAGAGAGTGGAGATTTTGACACGTAAAAGGCCCTTGAGTAGCTATGGATGTGAGAATTAGGGAGGAGAAAAAGGGGCCATAGAAAAAATGTGCAAAGTGTCTATGTCTTTTCAAAAGATACTAACAAATAATTGGAATTCCTTTTTAAATGACTTTCAGTTGCTGAACCATATTTCTTTACATGAGTGTCCAAGCAGAGTGTCCCCCCTCAGGGGACCCATAATTTTATTGGAGTTACACTAAAAAACCTTCGGTATGGTTTTGGCAAGTGAGCACTGGTCAGAAACCACTCCACACACCACAATCTCTACGCTCTGAGCAGTAGCACACAAGCCTGGAATGTTCTGAGAATCCAGCTTCCTTCTAAGTTGTTGCTCCTTACACAGGACCACTGTAAATGGAAGGCATGACCAGTTTACTCTTTCTGTACAGAAGCCAGAGAGGATAAACAGGTTGTTCATGATCACCCAAAAGACTAAAAGAGAACGGAGGCACAGCGCGGGTCTCTGAATCCCTGTGTGGCCTGCATTCTGCTCAGCTGACTGGCTGCGAATTCTGTTTCCTTCCCTTTCTAGAAAGTGAAAATCCATTTTCACTTACCTTCCTGAGAAGGCCCAGGCTTTTGCCAAGGGCCGGTGTGGGACAAGACTGGAACCTGAGCATTTATAAAATCATTTCTTTGGAGTCCTTAATCTCTTTCTTGAAAGCAGTTTAAAGTGCACAGGGGTAGGAGGCTGAGCCCAAGGACTAGGGCCTGAGGTCTGAGCATTGAGGCAGGCCATCTCTACCAAGTTCTGGATTGCCCAGCCATGCAGCATTGCCCTGTCAGAGGCTCTCATCGGGATGGGATGTTTCCCCACGCAGGAGACACTGACTGAGGGGTTCTGGAAAGAAAGAAGCCTCCATTTTCTTTCATGGATACTACCAGAAAAGCAGCTTGCTCTCTCCTACGTGGGGGTGAAGGTGTATCCAGCTTTGGTTGCTGCTGGCAAGACCACACTGCAGCCTTGAAGGCTGAAAGTTTTCAGATGAAGTTGACACCATCGGGGAGGACAGAGAGACCAAAAGCAAACAAACAGACAGAAACAACTCAGAGCAAACGGCTCAGACCGTCTGCAGAAAAGCCCACCCACCTTGAACAACTTTATCATCATCACGGACCGATAGATTCCCTTTATTGCTTAAGCCAGTCTGAGCCGTGTTCTCTGTTTTTGCAGTAGAGACCATCCATCCTCCTGATACCTTATGGCAGCTTAGCCTCTGCGCTGAAGGAACAGGAACAGGGAGGCACAGTCTGGGTCTGAGAAGACTCTGTCCAACACAGGTCACTGGGTTTTAACTCTCTTCCTTGGGGAGGGAGGGAAGGTCAGTTAAGTTCACCTCACAGCTGGGTGGCGAGGGGTGACAAGTCCGTCATTCAGCAAAGGCACAGCTGAAAAGATGCTCATGCACTTGAATGTGACCCTCTAGGATCTCCGAGGGCTTGGGCTGCCAGAGCCCATGTGGGGCAGCTGTTCTTTACTCCCAAACGGTCCGTGGAAAGATATCAGAAAGTCCCTGAAACCCTGAAACTGTATAAGGAATTTTTGTGAGTACATTTTCACCAGGTTTTCAAAAGGAAAGAATCACTGCTCTGTTAATTAATTAATTAATTAATTTTTAAGATTTTATTTATTTTTCAACAGAGAGAGAGAGACAGCGAGAGAGGGAACACAAGCAGGGGGAGTGCGAGAGGGAGAAGCAGGCTTCCCGCTGAGCGGGGAGCCCGATGCGGGGCTCGATCCCAGGACCCTGGGACCATGACCTGAGCTGAAGGCAGACGCTTAACGACCGAGCCACCCAGGTGCCCTCACTGCTCTGTTGTAAATGGTATAAAGCCTTCTAAACCCACTTGCCTGGCTCTCCCCTTGTCATAAAACAGAGTGACTACTCCTCTTCCTTCTTTCTCCCCAGAAGGGATGGGCATCTGAGAGATCGTAGACGGCGGAGAAACCCGTTAGACGGAAAAATCACGTTTAAGTGATCAGGGACTGTGCCAAGCTATTGGGAGAGGTGAGTAGGGCGCTGTCCTGAGGAGAGAGAGTCCATCTGGAAGTGAGGGCAGACATGAGCTTAGGTGAAGGAGAACGACGAAGCCCAGACCTGCCCTCTCTGTAGGAGCCCCAGGTCCATGGATACACATGAAATGCATCTGAGCAAGCCACAAGCTGTGCGTGCATGGGATAACAACGACCATTTGCATCATCTGCTGGTTTTCAGTGGGCATTTCTAGAACACACTGTCTCATACGGGTCATGGGAGCTGGGTCTCACATGTTGCCCCAGGTTCAGAGAGTGCCGGGCCCAGGGTCCCCCAGGAAACAGTGGTGCTGTTGCCCAAACTTGGTGTTCTGTTTTCTCTCCTCGTGCTCTATCCTTTATAGCAGTGGTTTCTAAACCTGACTGATCAGCAGCACACCCAGATGCTTCCCTGTAATGCAAAGTCTTGGGCTCTTCTACAGCCCTAGAAAGGCTGATTGGATATGTCCAGGGCAGGGCCTGGGCACCTGCATTTTTGGAAGCATTGCCAGGTGAATCTGAATGCCACTTAGATTTTTGGAACAACTGCTGTATATAAAGAGCGCCGTGTGTGTGTGTTTGCGCCCGCGTGTGTGTGCGCCTGCACAGCACACGTTCTCCAATAAGCAGGCCTAGCAACCCTGTAAAATAGGGAACATATCTTGGATGGCTCTCATCTACTTTTTTAGGGCTCTCCTACCCTTTGGCCGTTTTTCCTGATGCCTCATGGTTCTTTTGCTAACCTCTCATCAGATGGCAGCTTTGTCCCTTTTAGGGGTTGGTGCTTTGTCACAGTAGACTAAAAAAGAAGAAGAAGAAGGTAGCAGGAGGGGAAGAATGAAGGGGGGGAATCGGAGGGGGAGACGAACCATGAGAGACGATGGACTCTGAAAAACAAACAGGGTTCTAGAGGGGAGGGGGGTGGGAGGATGGGTTAGCCTGGTGATGGGTATTAAAGAGGGCACGTTCTGCATGGAGCACTGGGTGTTATGCACAAACAATGAATCATGGAACACTTCATCTAAAACTAATGATGTAATGTATGGGGATTAACATAAGAATAAAAAAATTAAAAAAAAACGGGATGGATAAGTTCAAAAGCAGTAAGTCTCTGATGGTAGAATTTCAGGCTTTGGGACAGGCAAGTGGGTGTGAGAGCTGTTTTAGGGAGGGAGGGGGGACATCTTACTGGGCCGTACGGTGGTTGTGTGTTTGCCATGGATGCTCTCCGCCCCAGAACTCCCATGTGTGTTATCATATGCTTGCACGTCTACCATACAAATAGAATATCCACAAGACTCTCAGAATGAAAAGCAAACAAATATCATGAGCAGGTGGATTTTTAGAGTGTGCAATCCTTTTTAGGGGGAAAAAAGCATGATGAACGCATTTTCAGTGTCAGGTCTCAGCACAAGGCATGCTCTTGAAGCTGGAGGAGAGGCATCCAGAAATATGAGTTTGTCATGGAAACGCTGACAGGGCTTCAGCCGAGGGATGCTCACAGGTGCAGCCCGGAATGGCGCAGCCGCTGTGGCTTATTTACATCCTGACTCACTGAATGAATTCTCGTTTCCTGTTTCCTGGCCCTGGGAAGCCAGCTGGCCTGCTGGACCTGGGGGGGTTCTTCACCCGATAGGTGGCTGTGTCTCTCTTGGTGGTTTTTAGGCTTGTGGAGCAGGGAATAGAGATGGTCTTCGGATCGGTCTCATATCTGGGAGAACGAGTCCTGGAAGGAGCAGAGAAAGAAATGAGGGAAGGGGGTAGGGAGGTAGGCAAGTAGGAAAGAAGGAAGGAAAACATACTGATTCCAAGTGCCAGGCACACCCCTAGAAACATAAGCATCATCTTCATGTCTTTATCACCATCAGCTGTACCCCAGGGAGTTATGAAAGGTTATTGCTACATTACAGGGGAGACAGGCGGGTAGCACATGGAAGAGTGGGAGCATACAGCTCATCCTTGGGTAGACCAGCTGGCTGGGTGGTATAAGGGTTAGGAAGTTTCCCCTGAACCTACCACTTCTGTAGATGCCAAAAGCAGGACACAAAGGTCTTCCCTTCCCAAGCAGCCAGAAAGCTGGGAAAGCAAATCCTTCCTGGAAGAGGCTGCACAGTGACCACCCTGGGTCATGTCAGGGGCAGATGACTGGCCACAGACCCGGTGCTGTGGGTGGGCCTTGCTGGAGGTGGAGCACTGGGTCCCCGGAAATATGGGTTCTTTCTTCTTCCCAGTGGGGCCCCAGGACTCTGGCAGGAGCTGAGGAGGGCCTCGGCTGCTTTACGGAGCCCATGGGTCAGGGCCGGAGAGCCTGGGGGAGAGGGTTGGGAAAAGGCAATGTGGCTTCTGTCTGTGAGAAGTTTCCATTCGGTGGGGAAATGTGGTCCCTTAGGGGCTCCCAATCCAAAAACGGCCAAAGGGTAGGAGAGCCCTAAAAAAGTAGATGAGAGCCATCCAAGATATGTTCCCTATTTTACAGGGTTGCTAGGCCTGCTTATTGGAGAACGTGTGCTGTGCAGGCGCACACACACGCGTGCGCAAACACACACACACGGCGCTCTTTATATACAGCAGTTGTTCCAAAAATCTAAGTGGCATTCAGATTCACCTGGCAATGCTTCCAAAAATGCAGGGGGGCAAGAGCTCTGCACACGAGTCCAAGAAAGATGGAAGACAGGAGGCCCGGGCCACACATGCCAGGACTTCCCAGTCTGCAGAAAGAAAGCCCTGTTTCTTCTATCCGGGCCATAGGCTGCCCCCCCAGCCCCGGCCAACCATGTCAGGAATGGAGCTACCAACCCCACCCCCTCCCCGTGGCAAGCGCGGGGGTGAGGCAGACACCCCTCCAGTGCACCGGCCCGGCCTCACGGCACCCCACCCCCTGCAGCGCTTTCTCTCCCAGCTGCCTGCTCCCGGGGGCTGCGGCCTTGGCGGGCCCAGACCCCCTGCTGGAGGCTGGCTTGCAGCCGGGGCCTCGGCGGTCAGGCGCACCTTTCCTTCCCCACCAGGAGCCCCGGGAGCGTGGGCGACATTCCAGGCCTGGCTCGGGCGCGAATTCGCTGCTCGGAGCGCCAGGCGATCAGAACGCACTCCTCTCCCTCTCCCTCCGAGGTGTTGATAGTAACAGCAGAGCCGTGCTGCCAAGTTGGCAGGGGAACCGAGCGACTGTGCACTGCGGATCGCGGGGGGCGGGGAGCAGCCAGCCGGCTGAGCGCTGGGCCAGAGCGCCGGCTTGTTGATCCCTCCGGTGTGGCAGCCGGCATCTTGCGCGAGGAGGGGAGGCTCCAGGGGCGGCCCGGGGCCCTGGCGCGGGGTGAGGCGTCTGGGAGGCTCCCACTGTCGGTGGCTGGGAACCCCCTCCCCGCAAGAGGCATGCCAGGCCCCACAGGCAGGGTAGAGATCCATCTTTGTTCCTGCAGGTGCTGAAACAGCCGTGGAGTTTCCAGACAGGAGTGGGGCCTGGGTGGGGGCTGGCGGGTTCTAAGCTGCTTCCCCTGAGCGGGGGAGGGGGGAACTGGGTGTGGGGGATCTTAGGGAGGGCACCCAGCACCCAGGCTGTCAGTCAAACGGACCTGGGACCTCGGGCAAGTCATTTGACTTCTTTGAGCCTCAGATTAATAGCTCCTCAGAGCTTTATGTGAGGATTCAACAAAGTAATAATGGCAAAAACTTACCTTACTCCATGGCAGACGCTGTGTTAAGAGCTTTTGTATGTAAATGCACTTAATCTTCAAATGACTTTATCAGGTAGGTACTGTTATTCCCATTTTATTAATGAAGTAATTGAGGTATAGAGGGGTTAAGTAACTTACTCAAGGTCACAGAGTTAGTGAGTAGCAAAGTTAGGTTTGGACCCAGTCATGTGTCACCTCGGCCCTGTTCCCAGCCCTTATACCAACTGCCTTCGCAGGACAAGAGTTCTTAGCACAGTGCCTGGCATAGAGCAAGCATTTAATGAATGTCAGCTCCCACCATCACCCCAGAGCAACTCCAGAGAGGGGACCCAGGCTCCTGACACCCTCCCCAGGGACACCATGGGGCCCTACACTTGTCTTCCCCTTCCATCTTGGCCTGCTCCACTTCACTTAATTCTAGGAGCTGAACAGTTCCTCCTTTGGAAGGAGAGCCCGCTGGCCTTCCCTGCTCCCCTCCTCCTCCTGTCCCCTCTTCCTGCCGAGGCAGAGCAGAGCAGAGGAATTCTCAGCTTCCTCTAGTTACCCTCAGCCTGCAAAGAAAACAGAGTCTGCTGTGTCTGCTGCCAGTTCCTCTCTGGTGGCAGCCACAACCCATTTGCTCAGCGCCAGCCCCAGCCCCTGCCCCTGCTGTGGGGAGAGTGGGGAGCCCCGGACCAGACCCGGCTGCCCTACATCAGACCCGAGGCCCGTCACTTCAGGGCTGGACCTTGGGGGCTGCTCAGAGGGAAAGAGCCGGGCCAGATCATTTCTTGTGGACTCTTTGGACCCTTAAGAGCTGACTGAAGGTTGGTGGGCTGCAATTCAGCCTCTTCCTAGGATAGGAAGTCTATTGTGTAGACATGTCCCCCATATTTTGGGGGAGTTCATTAGTGCGGCCTTGCAAATTAGTAACCAGCTTTCCGAGTCCACTAAACTGTGCTACTGGCCACGCTCGCCTCTTAGAAAATACCAGGGAATGAGTCCTTTGCCACTTTCCGGGCAGCCAGAGCTCCGTCGGCTAGTTGTGAAATAGCCAAACCAGAGCCGGGAGTTTGGATCACTGACCACTTCTGAGGCCTGAGTTCCTCCCGAGACAAACCCCAATTACCAGTGCTGGGGGAAAGGAACGGCATACAGTGTAGATAGCTTAAAACAACACTGTTTTGCTCTGTGTGTGGGGAAGCATTGCGGGTATGTTAGCTATAGATTTACCGTCCTAATTCTTTCCTTCAGGCCTGACTGAAAGCAGGCTGGCCCCGAGGCAGGGGGATGCCCAAGATGACCTGTAAGAATTCCTTCCCTCTGGAGGCCTCCATAGAAATCCAGAATGAGTGAGCAGAAGTGGGGCGAGGTTCGATTTTCCTAAAGAAGCCCTGAGCTGGAGACAGGATGCGTTGACTATTTATTTATTTACGAGGCTATCGATTATAATGCAGCTTTTCCACAGGATCCTGGGCTGGAGTTGGGGGAAGAATCCTCTTACCAGTTAGCTTCCTTTGCTCTGAGATGTCAGGTGCTCAGACAGGCGGCCCTCCCTCCCCTGGCTCTTCCTCCGCCCCCTACCCCTTCTGCAGCCCTCACCCCTGAGCGCACTGAGGGTTGGGGGCTCCAGACAACCCCTCTAGTTTCTTTTCTCACATCTGTATGTTCTGGGTTCCTTCCAATATTTAGGACACACTTGAAACCCTAAATCTTCACAGCAGGGCATTGCTTAATTTGGGTACAGACGTTCGATTTCTGAGCTGTGAAAGACCTCTGAGATCCTTCCAGCAAAACCCTTTTGTTTTACTGAGAAGGAACAGAGGGAAGGTGATCTCCCCAAAGTCTCACAAAGAGAGACGCACAAGCTGGACAAGAATGGAGGCCTCCTGATTGCCCCAGGTGAGGACACTGAGTGCTGTACCAGGTGGCCTCCCAGTCTGGCCCCCTCAACCCAGGGTTGGGGGTGGTGCTGAGCTAGGAATCCCTCTCTGGGAAGCTGGCCCCTTTTGCAGTCTCTCCTTTGTTTTGTGCTTGATGAACTCTCTGCTCTCAGCCTGCCCCGCTCCGACATGGCACGGAGGGGGTTATGTGTAACCCCAGAGCAAAACAGAGGCTAGCAATAATGATTATGAGCCTGCTCAGCCTCTCCTGGCTGAATCCACTGTCCATTCCCACCTCCCTTCCCATCAGCCACTTTTCCAGAGGCGTCTCCCACGCTTTGTGCCCCAATACCAGCCTTCAAATTGGCAGAGGTGCCCATGTCCGTGTGTCTTTGTGAAAGAAAATGAGGCCTCTCCTTCGGCCCTGTTTCCAGGGCTGTTTGCCAGAGAAGCTGGAAATGGTCTTTTTAGGTGGGCAGAATCCAGGAGACAGGTCAATGCACCAAGACCCAAGGGCTGGCTCCCCACTTTGGAGACCCTGAAGTTTGGCCCAGTTGAACATGGCTCTAAAAATGAGGGCCACTGCCTGGGGCTAGGTGGGCACTCTGCCCTACTTCATTCTACTTCTTATGTTCATTTTGGCATCCAGTGTTCCAAAGTTTAACCCAACCGAATTTACCAATCTCATCTCTTTTTCTCTTCCCTTTTCACAGCCTATGTTGTAGCTAAAAGGAATCCCATACAAGCACCGCACTTCCTTCCTGTGGCCCTATCATTCTAGAACGCCTTACCTTCCGGTTCCACACATGCAGCAAACCCACGTTCTACGCCACTTTCCCTGAGTAGAGCTGGACCCCGCACTTGATCTTCACAAGAACCTCAAAATTCTCCTCATTTCTCCCTGGGGCTACATAGTTAGAGGGTGGCAAAGACAGGATTTGAACCCAGGTCTGTTGTCCCAGGGTCTATACCCTCAGCCACTGTACTCTATTGCCTATCAAGAAACAGCTACCCTTCCCCCAAATTATCCTCCTCTTACCTCAGATTTTGCCTGCACTTTCCGTATCACACATCACTTTTTGATTTTTTTCCTGGAACTATTTACATCATATACCTTAACTTCCTTCCTAAATGATGATCTCTTCCACAGTTGGGGTTGGGTCACACTTGGTATGTGCCTGGGCTGGAACATG